AAAAGGGTTTCAATAAAGTATTTGTGTTGGTAAATGAAATTGTAGAAGATAATCTTGAAGATAGGACCGAAGAAAATCGGCCAAAAAGATTACTTGATAGTGAAGAAGACATAATAATATCTTGCAAGTACGATCCAAAGGAGGCTTATATACCCAACAGATTATCGAAATCGTGAGTGGCAATTTAACCAATCAAATTATTCAAACACCAGGTTTCCTAATACTCTTTTTATTTGGTTTCACAACAATGCGGGCGGCGAAAAAAATTTACCATTAATTTTCTCTTTAAAAAAAAAATTTCAGGACTCACGAAATGGTTCGTTTCTGTAATTTGTTGATTTATACTTTCCAAGTTACTATTATTTTTTAAAATTATTATTATTTTTAATTTATAGGGTAACGAACAAGCAAAAGAAATTTCGTATCAAGATGCTCAACCTCAAAGTACAATTCTTAAACCTATGCAAGGAATGTTTCGAAAGGGAGTTCAATACAACAGTAAGTAAAGCAAATTAATGTTTATTTTATTTGTTTATTAATTATTTTAATTGATCTTTTCTTCTTCAGTGAAAATTATAATACGTGGTGACATTCGAACCGGAAAGACTACATTGTGTAAGTGATTAAATTGTTCATTTAATGGAATTGGCAAAGTTGATTGATTAATCAAGGGATTTTTATTCTAACGTCTAGTTAATCGACTACAAGGAGACGCATTTAAAGAAGATTATGTCACAACATCACAAATTCAAGTTGCAAATATACAATGGAATTATAATCAGACAAATGATGTCATCAAAGTGGAAATCTGGGATGTAGTTGATAAGGGAATTAATCCAACGTCTAGTAGTAAAAGACCTAATTTATCAAATGGCACTGGACTAAAGATAGAAAATGATCAAGTCGCATCAACTTCACCCGTACAACAGGCAACAGAATTATCACCGGATCAACTTACACTGGATGCAGCAACAATTAATGTATATCGAAATACTCACGGTATAATCTTATTGTTTGATATAACAAAGACTTGGACTTTTGATTATGCTATTAAAGAATTAAAATCGATCCCAGTGAATATGGCCGTATTGCTTTTAGTATGTTAAAATTTTTTATTGTTTTGAAATTTAATATATAAAATTTTAATTCGAATCATTTCATTATAGGGTAATTTTAGTGATCTAAGGTAATCTTAATATTCATTTTTAGTTTCTTATTATTTATTCATTTATTATTGTCATTAATAAACAATTCATACATAGTTCGCAACGTGCGATCCCACAATCACAAGTTTATCAGGCTATAGCAGATTGTAATAGACTTAGAGTGACTGAATATCCTACAGCAAACATGGTTCGTTATGTTGAAACAAGTATGCTTAACGGATTTGGACTGGAATATATACATAAATATTTTGGAGTTCCTTTCTTGCAATTACAGAGAGACATACTTCGACAACAATTGGAATTAAAGACAAAAGAATTGGCTATCCTTTTAGATACACTTGATAATTGTGAACAAATTCCAAGTTCTGCTCGAAAACTGCACAGTATATCAGATAATGTTGATAATGTTCCGGAATCTAAACGTATATTTCATAAACTTGGTTATTTAATATATATATATATATATAACTATATGTATTTGGTTTCTAATAATTATTTTCTAAATAGAAATGGAACAAGATATGTTGGTGCAAGAAAAATCATCTATAAAAGATCAATGGGATAAAGATTATCAAGATTTTTCTCTACAAGAATCTGGTAAGAAATATCAATAATTTACGTAAATATAAGGATATATTTAACTAAATATAAAACATACTTTCTTATTGTTTGATAGGTGGTGAAATTACGGGCGATATTGTAGAACCAATATCACCAAAGTTAAATTTAGCTCAAAGCACTTCAACTTCGTTAAAATCAAAAAGGCCTAAAGCAGCAACACCTAATATAGCTATCATTGAAGAATTTGATGCAGGACAACTTGAAGATGATTTCTTTGATGATACTCCTGATCCAAGATTTGCTCAACCTCCTAATCATCCACCTAAAGTTGAGGAACAGGAACAAGATGATTTGAATTTATCAAATCCAATGGTTACTGCTGACGAGGATCTTGTTGGAGATGTGTCGAATGATATGGAAGAAACTGAAGATGGTAATAAAACTACGAATATTCGTCAGCCACCCAGCTTTAATGATGATCTGAACGATGTTTGGAAACGCCAAAATAGTAATGCTTCCGCTCTTATTGTTAGCGATAGTAGCGATGATGATTTAATAACAGGTGCAAAGCAGATGAACTTACTGGAACGTAGGCCTTCGAATGCAGCTTCTCTAATTGAAAAATCACGATTGAGTCAAGAATTAAGAGCCCTAAGAGAAGAAAGTAACTTTTTAGATCCCGAAACATCCAAATATCCGGAACATGTTTTATCAATGATTAATAATCCTTATTTGGAATCAGATAACATGGGAGTATCAAACTCATCACAAGGACATCATACTTTTGTAGATTCATCTTTTGACATGGAAGAATATACACCTATGACTTTCGGAACCCCAAGTGCATATGAAGAGATAGGTGAAGGTCAAGATAATCCTTGGTTGGAAAGAGAATCGAATCAACAAGTTAAAGATACGAAAGTTTCTTCACCAACTACTCATCAATCACGTAAAGAAATATTTTTCAATTCTCCAGTAGGACAAAATTCCTCAACAGATCATCGAAATCGTAATTCAGAGGTAAAATATCATTTATTACTTCTTATTATTTTAACGAAACTTCTAAAATCAAATCTTTCATATTTAATCTATAGTCGGCAAAAGATGAAATGCATAATCAAAACCTTCACCTACATCACCCTAAATCATTTGATGAGGAATTAATATCGTCTTCCCCATGGGGAGGATTGGATAAATCAAATATACAAAGTTCACAAAATACGGAGGACTCATTATTGGATACTTATATCAAAAGTATAAAGAAAGAGAAGACAAAAGAACAATCAATTACGGAGACAAAAAATAAAATACCAAAGAAGAAGAAGAAGAAATCGAAAGATTCTAATACGAAAGAAGAGAATAATAATGAAACAAAAAAAGAAAAATCCAAAAAGAAAAAACAAAAAAGTATTGAAGATGAAGTAAACGGTGGAGTAAATATCAGAGAAAAGAAAACTAGTTCTAAAAAGGGAGTTACAAAATAAAATTTATTTATTTAATTTATTTTAGTTTATATAATTTGAACAATAATATATAATTGTAAACAATTAGAGTGTAATTATTATCTGTAATAATAAATATATTTTAATCAATGTTTAATAAAGTAAAAGAAAAAGAGATTTTTTTTTTAAATTAAGTCCTTTTATATAAATTTTTTTTAATGATCGACAAAATGGTGATTTATCCTTATTCGTATAATGTACTTATGCGATCATTAATTTTAGTTAAATTAAATCGAGATCAATTTATATTCCATTGATAATCTAATAACTTAGCTCACGGTTTCGGCTACAACTTTTGCTTTTTCTTTAACTTCTTCGATTTGTTTTTCATTACCATGTTCAATTTCAAATTGTAACCATTTTTTAAATAAGAATTTCATCTTTTTTGATGAGAATTTCAAACTTATAACGCGTTGAAATAGACGTCTAAAGGAATTAGAGCATTTTGAGTATTCAACAGAGAGAATATCATTTAGAAAAAATAATTTACCTGACAGCATTATAATCTTTGGCTTTAATTTCCATGTCAATATAAATTGACCATAAATCAATTCTTTTAGGGTAATTATTCATCATCCCTTCAAATATAGTTCGTCCTCTTTCCACCTCCCCATGTTTGAATTCCATTTGAGCGAATTTTGTAATGGTTTTAACGTCTGATAAAGATTGAATATATATATCAAGAAATTAAATTATTTGATAGATACTACCAATCGTCAAAAATTTAACTTACGTTTCCGTTTTGGTAATATTTTTAAACTTTTTTGTAATAAAGCTCTCGCATCTTCGATTTTACCATTCCGAGTATAGTAGAGTCCCATTTTACTCCAGACTTTGGAGCTTTGTGAAAATTTCTTAATCATGGTATTGTAAGTATTTTCCACGAGCTATCAAAAGGAAATTTTTTTTTTTTCATAAATAAATTTTATCATCAAACTAATTTAGATATAATGATTAAAATATAAAAGCACTGACCTCGAGCTTATTCGATTTTTCATAAATCTCTACAAGAATTGTATATATTTTCTTTTGATCACAAGCTTGTAAAGCTCTAGTAAGAATTCTAGACATGGTTTCTTCACTTCCATAATTATTCTCTAAATTCATCAAGGCAATCCATATATTCAACCTCTCTTGCTCTTCTCTGAAATTAATGATTTTCAAAGCTCTTTCACCAATTTCTCTTGCTTTATCGATTTCAGATAATTTGATTTGATGAACCATATATTGCATCCATAAATATGAAGAATTGGGTGATCCTATTAATAATCTTTCAAAATCCACATCAACTTCGGGTTTTTGTGTCATTAAATCACCAGTTTGGTCAACTAATTCAAGATGTTTTGATTTTTTCTTATTTTTTTTATTTTGAGACTTTTGCTCGTCTTCCAATTCAAGTTCTGAATGATTTGGTGAAGTTTCTTTTCGAGTTGAATGATTTTTAGAGGCATCATCATCCTCTTCCCATTTCCAAGAACCTGAAATTGGTAATGGTGCAACTTCGTTCTGTTCATTTGAATCGATTTGTAGCTCGATTATACCTTCTTCTTCTTCTTCTTCACTTTCAATATTATTTGAATTCTGACCATATGAATCGATTTCCCAATGTAAGTTCATTGATCTGGATTTATCGGCCAAATCTTTATCAACCTATAAATAAAATAAGATAAAAGTCAACTTAAAATTACAATAACCAGTTTTTGCTTAAAAAATTTACCTCCATTTGCTCGTCTTCCGAACCCTCTACTGAATCCTCTTCACTCTCATTATCATCCGTATCCATTTGATCGTCGTCACTTTTAAAATAACTCTTTCTCATGACAAAACCAACTTTCTGCTTCTCTTTATCAATGTTCAAAATCTTTGCTTTGACATGATCACCAATTTTAAACAAGCTACTCACTTCCTTGACATAATCATCAGATATTTTTGATTTATGGCATAATCCACTTACAATACTATTATCAATCTTTATAAATATTCCATAATTTTCCACACCCGAAACCGTGCCTTTAATAACTTGACCTTCATTAAAATCATCAATAGTTTTTGTTCCAGATATTATTAATTTGTCATCTTGATCTGAAGCTATAATAGACACCAAAACACGATGTTGTAACGTGTGCTTTTGAAATGCGGAATCATTAAGAGATTTTTTATGAAGATGGTGAGGTACATGAGTTATTTGAACTTTGATGGTTTGTCCAAATTGATATTTCATAAAAGGTGAGGAACGATTATTAAAGGATTTTGAGGCTGCGAATGCTATAGCGTTAGACTGCCCGGGTAATGACACAATAATATAATCTTCTTTAACTTGTTCTATTATTGCATCGATCAATGTCTTTTCATTTAAAAGTTTTTTCAAATCTTTTCTCTAGAGAAAATTTTTTTTTTTTTAGTAATTTATGTAAAAATAAAGATTTTTCACAAAATGAAACACTTACGCTAACAACACTATCGGTAATATTTTTGTTTTTGTTTCGCTTTCCATTCTTTCCAAAAGAAATCATATTATGTCGAATGCCCAAATCAATATTCTTTCCTTTCATATCCATATCAAGGACGACTCCTTCTATTTGGTCACCTTCTTTAATATCATTCCTAGTATTGGCTTGCTCTTCGCTAACTACTCCTTTGATCTTTTTGGAATTATTTTCATTTACCATAATAACTTCAACTTTCCAACCTCCGTGATCATCATCATTCATATCGTCGTCTTGTTTAGATGGCAACCTTTTCTTAACCAGACACTTTACGCGTTCTCCGATCATTACTTTCATTTCTTCCTGCCTAGTCAAATTTTTTCCCGTATGTAAAAGTTCCTCAAAGTAAGATTTAATGAAATTACCTTGATTAATAAATGACAGAGATTTGCTGATGGAAATTTCTGATGGTTTTAATGAAATGTCGAATTTTGACGTTTCTTTATCAATATGCGTTATTAAACCAACAACTGATTGATTAACATGAAAAATCCCAACTGGGCTAGCAATAAAATGATCTGCTAATTTCTGTGATGAAAAAATACGATGATTATAAGTATCAAATATATATATCAATTCATCAAATGATCTTAACCATTCTCTCAAATAACTTAATAACTCACGTCTCTTGTAGCTCTAGAACTAAATCCTCCCAAAAATCCTATGAAAACGGCGTAATCGGTAACACTTTTGACGTACCCACACACTACGTCTCCTACTTCAATATCATCTAATTTTTCAGGGAACTTATTATTCCTTTTTGCTTCGATTAATAAAGATTTTTTTGTTACATTAACAAAACCTTTTGGCTCATTTTTTGCAATAACCATTAAATTGCTTAAAACGTCATTAAGTTTTAGTTGCTCTTGAATGTGCGATAAGTGAGAAGGAGTAATATGATCCGAAAAATGAGAAATGGGAAGATGTGCACGAATTTGTGAGGGTATAAGGGATAATATTATAGTATTATCTTTGATTTGTAAGATTTTTCCTTTTGTAATCTGATTAGTGAGGATAGAATTAATAGGGAAAAATGATAAGGTAATAATAATAATTATTATAGCAAAAGTATGAAGTTAAAATATTGAAAGAATATTCTGATCTAGAAATTAAAATTTTATTATGAAAATCAACCAAAGATTTGATATATTAAACAGTCTTACTTACATCACCCAAATTAATTTCACTTAGATCACTATTTGTAGCATCATTAATTTGGAAACTTCCCATAATCAACTCCTTATCCTTAACAACTTTCGTTATCCTACATTTTACAATCTGTCCGATTTGAAAATGATCCTTTGGATTCTTTATCGCTTCAATACCACATTGATTAATCGGTATAAAAGCTTTTAACCCACCAAAGAATTGTACGATACAACCTTGTCCTATAATCCCGGATATGATTCCATGGGTAACGATTCCGGATTTTACATCATCAAATGATTTGAAGATTGGCAAATCGGAATTAATAAGTATAGGACGGAAGGTAACGTAAATATGATTGTTTGGCGGGTCCGTGTTAAGAACTCGACATTTATGAGTAGTTCCAATTTTGAATTTTTGAGATGGATGAGTAAATATTGTGTCGGAAAGGTGTGTGTTGGGAGCTAATGCTGTTATATTATCAGATAATGCAACCAAAATTCCGTTGTCTATAATGTTTATAATTTTACACTAAAAAATTTGAGAAGCAAAAGAATCTCATTAATTATAATATAATGATGAATTATTAGCTAATGAATGAAATTTATTACCTCTGTAATTTCTCCAATATTGACATCATCAAATCTAAAATATTTTTGTTCCAGAACAGACTTCTTTGTTGATAATAACAAAAGATTATCAACGGCAGCAAATCCAATTACACGAGCTCGATGAGCCGAGCCTGGTATCAAATCATTTGTGTTTTCTGAATCTGAAAACTAAGGTTAAATAAGTTAATTTCATTTATTCTAAATTAAAATTTTGAATGTTATTCATCAAGTTAACTCACCCGAACATATCCATTTACATTCATATTTTCAATTTCCACCAATACACCTTTACGCCTATCAACTTTTTTGACCATAACATTTTCCAGTATTTCTCCTATGGGAGCCTTATCAATTGACAACTCTCTGTCAATATTTAATTTAGTTTGTTCCAATTTAATAACATGCGGTGAAAGAGATAATCTTATCCTTTTGGCCTCAGTTGTGAAAGAAACATAAATAATTCTACCATGTACTTTGCTACCAATTTTAAAATTTTCATGGAATTCATGGGAATCTTTCATGATCTTTGGCCCATGGAAAAAATCAATGATTCCATCTAAAAGACCCATTATCTTTACACGTAAACCATTTGAACAAATATCTGTTACAATTGTTGTAATTAAATTTCCAGGAAGAAGCGAACAAATATTCTGTACGGTAGCGTCTGAAATTCTTGTTTTAGCAACAATTTCCGGATCTGCTGTCAACCTAACAGTTCGTCTGTTATCTAACTCATCAATAACACTAACGGTAATAACTTGTCCCACAGCAAATTCATTACCATTGTTATAACTATTTATATAATCTTTTGCGTCGTCATTATGCAAAAATCCACTGATACCATCCAATCCAATAGAAAGAATATATCCATGGTCTTCCACACTTTCAACGGAAGCTGACATGACCTAATGGAAAAAAAACATGAATATTTAATTTGGAAATTCAACAAAAAGTAATCTTGTTTTATTTATAAATACCATTCCTTTAGACAAGTCAGCAACCATTATATCGGAATTAACTTCATCTGGAACTAGCGTTAGATGTATACGCCAATGTTTTGATGTAGCGGCAACCGGAGATTCAAGACGAGAAACTTTGCATCGAATCCATTGACCTACTCTAAATAGTGACGATAATTCTGGTAATTGATTTTTATCATTTTCAATCTCATCCTCGTCATCATCATCATCATCATCATCATCGGAATCTGCCATGCTGGCAACAATTTTGGATAACGTTCGAGAAACTTCATTTATTGAAACATACCCTACCATTTGATAGGGAAGTGATACAACCAAATTCACAGAATTTACTTGTACAATTCGACCCAAGAAATATGCTCCAACGTTAAGATGCTTAAAAAAAAAAATGAATGAATCAAATACCATTATCATCATATAATAACATCTAACGAATAAATTAAAAAAGAATTAAAATTAAAACTTACCTGAATTGACAATAATTCCACCGAATCTTTTTTGAAATTATTTAACTTAGCGTCCGCATCTTTTGCAAATTTCAATGGGTTTGATTTTGATACGGATTTTCTCTTTTTCTTAACAGGTACTTCATCTACCTCCTCATCAGATGATTTATTGTCTTCATTCTTTAAGGAGATTTGAATTTCCCCATCAGTTTATTTATAAGAATTATCTAACAAATGAGAATTTCTCGTGATCTTTATAACACTTACATCATTAAAGATATCATCTCGATGGTTTCTTTCCTTTCCATTTTTAATAGAATACTCGGATGCCTTACCACCTCTAGGAAAATCATTAATTTCAGTCTTGGAAGAATTACGCACGATCACCTGTTCATTCTTGTCTTGTTTATTCGTTTTAGGATACTTGGATCCATTAGATATAGATTTATTGTTTCCCGGTGTTTGGTCTTTTTTATTTCTGTTGGAATTATTTGAAGGTACAGGAGAGGCAGCTTTTCTCTTCTGATTTGCACGAGTCATAGTTTAATCTATTATCTTTAATCCAAAAACTTTGACAATAAAGAAACCCAACTCCGAAAGACGATGTATTGAGAACAGCGACTTTAAAAGATGTGAATCGAATGGTTAAAATTTTACATCAAATTTTTTTGATTTCGTTACACAGAAACCACGTGATTTCAAACACGACCATTTTGACCAATCATTGATTCAGCACTTAATTTCACCAAACGTACTCATTTGACCAGAATTATAATGAATACAATTTTCTTAATTTTTTTTTTTTTTTTCTTTTAGTTCCCTCAAAACAAATGAGCATTTATATATGATGATGACATAAAAGATGAACACGATGGACACAAAGTATAATTTATATGCCATCAATTAAAATCGTGAGTCAAGATGATAATAAACGCTTTTTTATGACTAAATAGTCGACGCCGCGTGTTGAAATTTAAATTATTAAAAAATTTTAAATTGCGCGTGAAAGGATTACAAGGTTAGCGCGATTTAATATCCCTAAAAATTTATTTTCAAAACAAAATTTCAAAAACGCAGCACTGCGGACAAAACCGAGATTCTCTTTATCCACATCACTTGATCTAAACGCCCATCTAGAAAAATTCATTTTCTGACTAGTAACACATCGTTATCGGTTCTTTGAAATCGTACTTTTTTAACTTGTGGTACTTGAATTTCTTTTATAATTTCTTTCCGTTAATAACAGCATCTGCCTGCATGTAAAGTTTCAGTTTGTTTTCTTGCATTTAAATGTAATGTTTAACATGTAACGTTTTATTTAAAAAAACAGATTTTTTTTAACATCATCTTTTGAGGATGCATAAAAAAAAAAAAAAATTTTTCATATGCTCTTCATCTGTACATTATCATGAAAATAATGTAAAATGTGTTGAAAATCGTTTGAAGAATTTTCTTGATTGGGTTGAAATTATCAATAGACGACAATCTATTTCCATATTAAAAATATAATTTATAAAGATCCAAATTTAGAATAAAACATAAACGTATAAAAAAAAAAAAAAAAAAAAAAAAAATTTAGAGTACATTTCCTGTCTTTGTGTTTTAATCGAGGCTGGAGTTGGCGTTAAATTCCCTTAATAGGATTAATAGGATTAAAAAAATATGCGATTACGACATGCGCAATGCCTCGTAAACTTTCATATCTAGGCAGGTTTCTTTCTCCAGTGAATTCCTTGAATGTTTTAAACAAAATAAATGCTTCTATGGATACCAGTATACCTACGCATGACCTTAATGGTTCAATAAAACCTGTAATTTATTATAATGGCAGATTTCATTTTGTTGAGGAAGATACCGCTGCTAAGTTCCATTTTGATACAGATTATGCTTTATTTCAAATATATAACCTAAAAGTATGTTGGCGGGTACGCAGAAAAGGCGGGAGACTCGGGAAGAATGTATCTTTACTTGAAAATCCTTTATTTTCCGCTAATACCGATACTTACCTTTGCACAATAGGGTACAAAACGTGAAATTCTTGAAGCAATCACGGACGTTGCAGGACCCGCGGGTTCTATATCTTTCTTGAATGATTTTGAAAGAACCTATTCAAGATGCTCGGATCATAGGATAGAATTAAGAGCTGGCTCATCTATCGAGACAAATGATCCGACAAGATTAAAGGTAATAAAGATTAGGTTTTCGTTATTTTGCACCTTTGAATTTAAGTTGATTTTTTTTTTTTTTTATACTTTTTTTCGCAGGTCAAAATCAAGTTTAGTAATAAATCTCATGCTGACGTTGTGGAAGGTCTTCGAACATCCACCTCGGTTGCCGAATTAACTCTTAATGGCTTTGCAGATTGGGTGCCATTAGATAGCACAAGTTACGAATGCATTTTACAATCATCAGAGACTTCGCATGATAATTCAATTACAAAATCAGAATCAGAATCTAGGCACACAATCTTACGAGCGTTAAGCGATAATATTGATCCGGTATTACTAGATGTGGTTATTGATGATTTGTTGGATGATTTTGAATCTGGAGCCTTCAGGAAATTATTTCCCGGTCCCGTCATACGTGTCGATCGAGGCATTAATGAAGTTGTCATGACCGTAGTGTTGACGCGTGGTCGTTATCCATTTGATGAAGATATGGGCAAGATATTCATTGAAATTCTCAATGCTTTAATTCAAGATCGCAAAATTGAAAAAAAATTTGACAAGGTACGTTTAGATTTTTGGTTTTGGTTTTGTTTTTTTTATTCACAGAACATTTATTCACCAATCGAAATTTATATCAATTTTTTATATGATATATTTATAGCATATATATGATTCGTTTTTCTTATTGGTGGTGCGTATATTAAACTTGATACGTGATTTGGTTCATCTGAACGAGACTTATGAGGATTTTCATTCACCTGGAGTATGTCCGTTATTTGCTAATTCAATAAAATTTATGAAAGTTAAATATATTGAAAGTCTTACTGACTTGGAAAAAGCATTAATTGACATTGGATTTGATAAATTTGAAGGTAAATTGATGAAACTGCTCGCATCTTGATAAGTACACTCGGATTTAATTCATCATCAATATTTCCATTTTGCAGATCGCCTTCAAGAACTTACGATGATGGTTCGTGAGGTTGATCGTTGCGTAGAGACAGCATATGGAAATTTACAATCAGATGTAGAAAAATGGAAAAAGCGCAGAAACATGGCCAATTTTTCTTATGTTTTATCAATGTAAGTTGAGTTTTAATTTGCAAGTGATTTATTCAATTATCAACCCAATATCTATATATATTTATTTATATTTAAAATAAGAATAATAATAATTCTTATTATTATGATGAACGGTTTCTTTCATAGACTTATAGCTATTGCATTACCATCAATATATCATTATTATCGTCAAACAGATTATGTTCCATTTGGTCCCATAACGGTAATTTTTTTTTTTTTCAATTATTATCAATTTTAATCTTTTCATCCTATTAATTCGCTTACCATCATTTCCTTTTTCTTTAGACAATACTTGGATGCCTTATTGGTTTTTTTTGTGCATTTTGGCATGGATGGTCACGTAATAGTTATGATAAAGCCATTTCATCGCATAGGAAAGCCATACCAATTCATTCTTCTACGACACAAAGTTTGGATTCGTTGCAAAGGTGGTTAAATAGAATTTCAATCGTTAAAAGATGTAAAATTCCAATGAATAATAATGAACTTAAAGGAAGAAAGGATATCTTATCTTATCTTTTTGATGAATTGGTCTCTTCTGTTGCTGAATTGAGACTAAGCATTTGTTTAGAAGATGAACTCAGAAGATATAGATAATATAATATATTTATTTATTCTTTGTATTATTCTTTGTATTATAGAAATAATGTTTTCTATTTATTTATTTATTTTAGTTTTTTTTTTTTTTTTTTTTTTTTTAAAAAAAAAAAAAGAAGTTGATGTATCGATTCTTATGCATGCATGGAGCTTTACTCATTTTTATTTATTGATTTCTTTTTTTTTTTTTTTAAAAAAAAAAAGAGATTTGGTAAAAATAAACTTACACATTGAAATGAAATATAATTAAACCTTTTATTTACAAGGAACTTTTTTTCGCATCCATTTAGCATCCAAACTACATTCCGGAGATTACAGATCGTTCATAGTATCATATCAATATTTCTCATTGTTTAGATGCTAGTTCGTTATCAACTCTTCTATCGAAGTTAACCAATAACTTTCGGTATGTAGTTTGTTTGTTTTGGTTTTTTTGTGTTGCAAAGTGTTAAATATTTGCGAGTTAATTTTATTGAAATATCAATAACACTTGCAATTCGTCATCATGTACTTTGGGTGAGACATTGTTGAAAATCACCAAGATTGGGTAAAATAAAGGGGCATGTTCTCTCATTTTCTCAAGTATTTAGATGCAACACCTTTAGCAATTCTGTCCTAAATTACCATCTTGGAGATGAATAGAAAACGGTGATCTGTGAAATAAAAATATTTTCTTTTCCGAAATGAACGCGTTCGAACCTGAAAATAAACGGGATTATATTGTCTAAATTACTATCATGAAGGGAGATATTATAACTTCAGACAGAAACTTAACCGTTTATTAAATAATAATATCTTAAAAAGGATTCTCGTGTTCAAAAAGTTGGTTTCTTACTACGGTTGTATAGTATCAACTTTTTACGTAATACCGTACGTCAGTGTTGGCATTTGGCCGCGGCCAAGAGATTTTTGACCATTTGACCGTAGCCAATGGCAAAAAATGGTCAAACAGCCAAATATCTAGGTATTAATAAATGTAATGTATTAATACTTATTATTAGAATACATAAATAAACACGCTTGCACAATAATGGTTTTTTGGTTGAAAGATTTTCAGTATTTACAGGATCTTTTACAGGGTGTTATCTTCAGGTGTGTTCTCTGAGGAGATTTAAGCATCGAATGAAACACCAAAGAAACAATTGAAAACATATCTATTGTATGGAACTTGTTTGCATTCGCGTAGCACCTTTTCTTTGATTTCTTTAACTGACCACCGATAATTATGTTGACATACTGCGCCAACTTATGAAAAATGACGACAAAAATGCACATAAATTTGAACGTATACAATGAATCGAATCAATTATGTAATATTTAAAAGGAAAAAAAGGAAAGCGTTTTTTTTTTTTTTAAACAAATCAATTCCTTTACAAAGTACTACAAAAAAAATTTATTTCCCATATTTGGGAAAAATTCAAGGCAGGAGATGGTACAAAGTGTGAGAGAAAATAATTATTTTTACAAGGATAAATAAATAAATAAATAAACATATAAATATATATATATATATTGTTCAAACCAATGTTTGTTATTAAAAAAAAAAAAAACTTGTGTGTTAAACAAATTCTTTTCTCGAAAAATAAAGATTATAAAACGCATAAGTGAATCAATTTGATTGGTCCCTTAATTTTATTACCTATATTCGTCGTCCACATGCTCTTGAATGGTGGCGCAGACAAAGAGAGATTG